ATATATATATATATATATATATATATATATATATATATATATATATATATATATATATATATATATATATTTATATATATATATATATATATATATATATATATATATATATATATATATATATATATATATATATATATATATATATATATATATATATATATATATATATATATATATATATATATATATATATATTTAATAAATAAACAAAAATGCTGGATTTTTTAGTGGAATGCATAAAAAAGTAAAGATGTAATGCCTAAAATATACTTACAAACATTCTTAAGATTGTATTGAGTGTAAATGATTATCATAAATTACACTGCATTAATGACTACAATTTATTTCCCAAATAAATGTTATTATTCCAATGTAATAATCAGAGTAATGAGAATTGTAACCAATGTTTTTGTACTTACTGTTATGAACAAAACAAATCTTAATAATATTTTTAAAAATGTTTTAGTGCAATGCAGTGCAAAAACAGTAAATCAAAGCAAAACAACTGAATTACTGCAATCTATAGATTCTCAAGATTGTAATCAAAGGAAATTGATAGTATAAAATATACTTGCATTAATGACTAAAATTTTTTCTTCCCAAATAAATTTAATCTTTAAATTTGTTTTAAATGACATTAATGAGAATTGTAATCAGTAATGTTTTGTACTCGCTTCTTATCCCAAAAAAGCTTGATTTTATTAAATAAATGCAAAAAAGGAGGGAAATGTAATTGCAAAGCAAAATAAAAAACTAACTATTGTAATCAATAAACATTCTTAAGATTGTAATAAACATAAAGCATAATGTATAGTACATTAATGACTGATATTTAAATCCAAAATAAATAAAATATTCCCAATTTTATAAAATTACAATAATGAGAATTGTAACCAATGTTTTTGCACTCATTGTGATAAAAAAAAATGCAAACAATACATTGCAATGCAAAAAACATAACTATTTTAATCCAGTGTTGGGGAAAGTTACTTTAGAAAGTAATGCATTACAATATTTTACTACCCAAAAAGTAACTAGTTGTGTTACTTTTTAAGGCAAGTCATGCATTATTTTACTGTAGGAGCCATACATTGCATATTGGCGATTGGCTACAAGCTGTCAGTACGAGAGTACATAACTGTGGCTTCACCGCATTGAGGAAGAGACCGTTGGTAGGAAGAACATAGTTTTTGACCATAACGTAACAAAACTTAAGGTAACAGAGAAGTGTGCATTATAGATGAAGGAAAGTTTTTATTTGCATCCATTTTGCCTACGGACTCTCACTCTACCAACAATAGTGGCAATGGAACGCTGCTACAGTTAGTTTGCAGTTATTTTTTCTGACCGGCCTGAAGTTTGGACTTGCAGGGGTTTATTTTTCTTCTTTTTTTAAATAGAGGAGCTCTGCATTTAACAATGCACTGAATAACCTTCATTTACCTTAAAAAAAAAAAAAAAAAACGCATAAAAAATGAATGTAGGATAATTTTATCTTCTGAGAACTTCCCGACCCCAGAGCTGTGCATGCCGTATACAGATAAATGAAAGTTTAAAGCAATGTGTTAGCTACTTTTGCACTTTTTGTCTTATTAAGAAGTCACAGTCCATTCAGATAATCCTCTTTTCCTCAATGTGTTCAAATAAAAAGAGAATATTTCAATGGAAGGCTCATCCTTTCTGTCTGTTCCTGCATTCTCTCCTTGCATGCCGGATTCAACGTGACTACGTTCATTTTAATTCAGCGAATTAATTAAACTAAAAAGTAACTCGCATTACAATTTTTAAAAAGTAACTCAAATGTTATAAGTTAATTTTGAAAAGTAATGCGTTACTCTACTCCACAGATGTCAAAGCCAGTTCCTGGAGGGCCAAGCCCTGCACAGTTTAGTTCCAACCCTGTTTCAACATGCTTACCTGTAGGTTTCAAACAAGCCTGAAGGAACTCAATTAGTTTGAGCAGGTGTGTTTAATTAGGGTTGGAACTAAACTGTGCAGAGCAGTGGCCTCTCGTTACTTTTACTCGTTACTTCGAAAAGTAATATTATTACATAACTTGCTTTACTTGTAATGCATTACCCCCAAAACTGTTAAAATCTATAAACATTCTTAATATTGTGATAAACTTTTATTGTATAATTTATACCACATTAATCACTGCTATTTGTTTACAAAATAAATACAAATTCCCCAATTTATTTTAAAAATTGCCTTAATGAGAATTGTAATTAATAATGCTTCTTAATGTAATAAAAAGCTAGACTGCTTTAATGACATGCAAATAAGAGGGGAAAAAATATTGCAATGCAAAAAAATAACTATTGTAATCTATAAACATTCTTAATATTGTGATAAACTTATTGTGTAATGTAAGATGGACTAAATAGCCATTGATTTTGCACTCATTGTTGTCCAAAAAAATATTTAAATATTATTATTAAACATTATATTTAATGCTAATTAAAAGCAAAAAAATGGGTGGAAAATTATTGCAATGCAAAAAAAAAAAAACCTAACTATTGTAGTCTAAAAAAAAAACATTCCTAATATTGTAGTAAAAATAACTGCTATTTATTTCACAAATAAGTTAATACATTTTCCCATTAAAAAAAAAATAATTTTAAGTAATGAGAATTGCAGATAAAGCCACCATGCAAAAAAACAACGTCATATTCTTCATGCAAAACTTTCCCTTAATGCTCATTTTGGGTGTGAATGTGACAATTTTTTTTCCCTGTAATGCCCTGTAAAACTGAAGAGTGTGCAGGAGGCCAAAGAGCCCCGTTCAGTGCAGCATTGAGCAGTGGCACCAGGAGATCAGATACAGTACATGGGGAGGAGAAAGGGAGGAGCAAGGCAACATCACTGTCTGCACTGAAAAAAATTATTCATTGTATTTAACAAATTCCTTTAAGGTAAGTGGTTATATGGGATAAATGTAAACAAATCAAATTTAATCTAGTAATGTTCAACTTGATTAGCTTCAATTCAGCCCATATAAATAGTTAGCAAAGCACTTACCTTAAATAAATGTAGTAAACCCAATGAATAATTTTTTTCAGTGTGTGTGTGCATATAGGAGTACATACAGTAGCAACCGGACGTCATCAGTGTCAGCAAACCCTCATCAGATGGAGGAAAACAACCTTCAGGAGACTCTCTGCTGCTCCTTCTGTCAGCAAATCAGCTAAACTCACGACAGACCAGCTTTGAATCTCACAAAAAAACATACACATTTTATTAATAATTTAAAAGAAGGAAGATTAAGTCTTATATGTTGCATTGAAAGCAATGATTGTGTGGCCTTCACGCTTATTATTAGTACTGTAATGCAAAACAAATATTAATGTAAAGCAAAAATGCTTTCTTACTATGATCTCATCATAACGGAAAAAATAGTTGTAAATCACAAGAAAAAAAAACGTATTATATAGCAATAAAATAAAATAAAATTACAGTAATGCATGGCAATAAAAAGAAATGATTGTGTTATGAAAAAATCTACTGTAAAGCCAACATTTTGTATACTTTAATGCAAAAAAACTACATAATTCTTATTATTGTAAATATTTGTTTACACTTTTTAATCGTCTGTATTTGCTGCGCTGACTTTAAATATATACTAATTAAATTAACCTTTATAAAATATAATAATTACTGCAAATGAGCCAAATACCAAATTATTCACAATTCCCAAAGTAAAAAGAAACCCTTAATATCCCTACCAAACAAATAATCCTGTCTTCTTCTTTAAATATTGAAGTGAAAGATAACTTGGATGTATTTTTTGTGAGATTCACCTGCAGCGCTGCATAAATGTGCTCGATCAGTTTAAGAAGATGCTCTTGAACGACATTTGGACTGTGATTCTGTGATTATAATCAGCTGCTTCACACAGTTAAACTACAAAATACAATCAATCTCCATATGGACAAAAAACAGCCCCATCATCATGAATGGACTCCTATGATAATGATAATAATAATATTAAGGCCACTGGAGCTAGACATCACGAGCAGTGAAAATCCATTATGCAATGATTGTGAGATGTTCAAAATGCGTTACTATTCTCTTTTGAATCAATACGGAGTTAAATTTTTAACAGAAGATAGCACTCTAGGCTAGTTTTTTAAACAGTAGATGGCGCTCTAGGCTAGTTCTTAACAGGAGAGGGCGCTCTATGCTAGTTTTTCAACAGGAGACAGGGCTCTAGTCTAATTTTTAGAGCAGTAGATGGCGCTCTAGGCTAGTTTTTACTGCAGTAGATGGCGCTCTAGGATAGTTTTTAATAACTAGTCTAGAGCATCCTCTGCTGTTCAAAAGTACCCTAGAGCGCCATCTACTTTTAAAACTAGCCTAGAGTGCCATTTGCTCTGCTAATAAAAACAAGCCTTGAGCTCTGTCTGTTGTTAAAAACTAGCCTAGAGCGCTGACTGCTGTCAAAAAAACTAGCCTAGAACACCATCTGTTGTTTAAAACTAGCCTAGGGCACCGTCTGCTGGTAAAAACTAGCACAGAGCAACGTTTGCAGTTAAAAACTAGCCTAGAGCACCGTCTGCTGTTAAAAACTAGCCTAGAGCGCCGTCTGCTGTTCAAAACTAGCCTAGACCACCATCGCTGTTCAAACCTAGCCTAGAGCGCCGTCTGCTGGTAAAAACTAGCCTAGATCGCCATCTGCTGGTAAAAACTAGCCTAGAGCGACGTCTGCATGTTAAAAACTAGCCTAGAGCGCCATCTGCTGTTAAAAACTAGCCTAGAGTGACGTCTGCATGTTAAAAACTAGCCTAGAGGGCCATCTGCTGTTAAACACTAGTCTAGAACAGTCATCTGTTAAAACTATCCTAGAGCACCATCTGCTGTTCAAAACTAGCCTACAGCGCCGTCTGTTATTCAAAACTAACCTAGGGTGCCCTCTGTTGTTCAAATCTAGCCTAGAGCGCCCTCTGCTGGTTAAAACTAGCCTAGAGCACCCTCTGCATTTCAAAATTAGCCCAGAGTGCCGTCTACTGTTCAAAACTAGCCTAAAGCGCCCTCTGATGTTCAAAACTAGCCTAGAGCACCATCTGCTGCTAAAAATTATTCTCTAAATGGATTCACTAAAGAATTGCAATGCATATGAAAATCTCACGATCGATGCAAAATCTGCGTTCAGCTCTCCTACATCTCTCCCTCCTCCTCCTCCTCGTCCTCTTTCTCGGGCAGCTGCATCTTAATCCAGCCTTCGCCGCCGGCGTGTCCGTGTTTCTTCTGGTGTCGTTTGTAGTTGTCCCAGTGGCCGGTGGTGTACCCGCAGTGCTGGCATTTAAAGGGTTTTTCTCCGGTGTGCCGCAGCATGTGTCGCTTCAGGTTCATGCTCTGGTTGCAGCTGTAACTGCACACGCTGCACTGGAACGGCTTGGAGCCCGAATGGATGCGCTCGTGCCGCTTCAGATTGGCCAGGTTTCCGCAGGCGTAATCGCACACACGGCACTTGTAAGGCTTTTCGCCGGTGTGCACGCGGTGGTGCCGTTTAAGGTTGTCGAAGTGCGCGGACGCATAGCTGCACTGCGGACACTTGTAGGGCTTTTCTCCGCTGTGCGTCTTCATGTGGCGAGCGAGGTGGTTGGGATACTGCGTGACGAACGGACATGATGTGCAGGGAAACAGCTTATCGTCTTTGTCCGGGGAGCTTTTGGAGAGCATGTCTAGTGTGCATTTGCTGCAGATCTGCGGCGCCGTGGCCTCCTCGTCGTCCAGCACGGCTCCACACACGCGGCAGCTGAAGGGGAACAGCAGCTCAGGCAGAGGGTCAGACTCTCCAGACAAACCCTCGTTGTGCAGCAGGGCTGGAGGAGGAAGATGGGAAGGAAGATGATGATTATGATGATGATCGTAGTTTTGGAGGAAGTCTGGGTCGCTGCTGATGTGCAGAGTGAGGTCCGACACCACAGATTCTGAAACACACACACACACACACACACACAATTAATCTTCCTCTTTATGGAGAATACTGTTTTAGGAACTTCATCACTTCTACTTCCCTATACAATGTGCTGTGCTTCCTCTTTTGGTTTGCAGCATAAAGTGCAAAATGTGTAAAGAATCAGATGCAAGCAGTGGGTATTTACAACAGCAAAAAATAAATAAATGTGTGTGTCTATATATGTTTGTGTGTATGCATGCAAATATAAAAGTATGTATATCTATCTACCGTATCAATCTACCTATCTATCTATCTATCTATCTATCTATCTATCTATCTATCTATCTATCTATCTATCTATCTATCTATCTATCTATCTATCTATCTATCTATCCATCTATCTATCTATCTATCTATCTGTCTATCTATCTATCTATCTATCTGTCTATCTATCTATCTATCTACTGTCTATCTATCTGTCTATCTATCTATCTATCCATCTATCTGTATATCTATCTATCTATCTGTATATCTATCTATCTATCTATCTATCTATCTATCTATCTATCTATCTATCTATCTATCTATCTATCTATCTATCTATCTATCTATCTGTATATCTATCTATCTATCTATCTATCTATCTATCTATCTATCTATCTATCTATCTATCTATCTATCTATCTATCTATCTATCTATCTATCTATCTATCTATCTGTATATCTGTATATCTATCTATCTGTATATCTATCTATCTGTATATCTATCTATCTGTATATCTATCTATCTGTATATCTATCTGTATATCTATCTATCTATCTGTATATCTATCTATCTGTATATCTATCTATCTGTATATCTATCTATCTGTATATCTATCTATCTATCTATCTATCTATCTATCTATCTATCTATCTATCTATCTATCTATCTATCTATCTATCTATCTATCTATCTATCTATCTATCTATCTATCTATCTATCTATCTATCTATCTGTATATCTATCTATCTGTATATCTATCTATCTATCTATCTGTATATCTATCTATCTGTATATCTATCTGTATATCTATCTATCTATCTGTATATCTATCTATCTGTATATCTATCTATCTGTATATCTATCTATCTGTATATCTATCTATCTATCTATCTATCTATCTATCTATCTATCTATCTATCTATCTATCTATCTATCTATCTATCTATCTATCTATCTATCTATCTATCTATCTATCTATCTATCTATCTATCTATCTGTATATCTATCTATCTGTATATCTATCTATCTATCTATCTGTATATCTATCTATCTGTATATCTATCTATCTGTATATCTATCTATCTGTATATCTATCTATCTGTATATCTATCTATCTATCTATCTGTATATCTATCTATCTGTATATCTATCTATCTGTATATCTATCTATCTATCTATCTATCTATCTATCTATCTACAGTGCGTCAGGGAAAGTATTCATAGCGCTTCACTTTTTCCACATTTTTTGTTAACGTCTGATTCCAAAATGGATTAAAGTCCTTAATATTTTTTTTCATTCTATACACAATACCCCATAATGTCAATGTGAAAAAAAGGTTTTTTGAAATAGTTAAAAATTTATGAAAAATAAAACACCTGAAAAATCACGTGCGCAAGTATTTACAGCGTTTGCTGAGAATCTCTAAATTGAGCTCAGGTACATTCTGTTTCCAGTTCACCTGTGGTCAATTCAGTTGATTAGACATGATTTGAAAAGGCGTACACCTGTCTATATAAGGTCCCAGGGTTGACAGTGCATGTCAAAACACAAACCAAGCATGAAGACAAAGGAATTGCCGGCAGACCTCAGAGACAGGATTGTCTCGAGGCACAAGGCTGGGGAAGTTTTAGAGAAAAATGTCGGCTGCTCTGAATGTTCCAATGAGCACAGTGGCCTCCATCATCCATAAGTGGAAGATGTTTGGAACCACCATGACTCTGTCTGAGCTCCAGCGTAATTGTGTGGAGAGAGGAGAACCTTACAGAAGAACAACCATCTGTGCAGCAATCCACCAATCAGGCCTGTATGATAAAGTGCACATACTGAAGACACTCCCCGCCTGGAATTTGCCAAAAGGCAACTGAAAGACTCTCAGACCAAAAAAAACAAAATTCTCTGCTCTGATGAGACTAAAATTAAACTCTTTGGAGTGAATGCCAGGCGTTGCGTTTGGAGAAAACCAGGCACCGCTCATCACCAGGCTAATACCCTCTCTATAGTGAAGCATGGTGGTGGCAGCATCATGCTGTGGGGATGTTTTTCAGCAGCAAAAACTGAAAAACTTGTCAGGATAGAGGAAAAGATGAATGCACCAATGTTCAGAGACATCCTGAAAGAAGACCTGCTTTAGAGTGCTCTTGACCTCAGACTGCGGCGACGGTACATCTTCCAGCAGGACAATGACACAAAGCACACCACCAAAATATCAATGGAGTGGCTTTACGAATCGGTGAATGTCCTTAAGTGGCCCAGCCAAAGCCCAGACCTACATCCTATTGAACATCTCTGGAGGGATCTGAAAATGAGATCTGAAAATGGCTGTACACTGCCGCATCCCATCCAACCTGATAGTGCTTGAGAGGTATTGCAAAGAGGAATGGGAAAAAAATTCCCAAAGACAGGTGTGTCAAGCTTGTGGATCATATTCAAAAAGACTTAAGGCTGTAATTGCTGCCAAAGGTGCATCAACAAAGTATTTACCAAAGGCTGTGAATACTGATGTACATGCGATTTTTCAGTTTTTTTTTTTAATTTTGAATACATTTGCAATAAAAATAATCTTGTTTCACATTGTCATTATGGGGTATTGTGTGTAGAGTTGAGCAAATAAATGTATATAAAAAAAAAATTTCCAATAAAATGTTTGGTATGGTTGTTACAATGTCACTATTTGACCAAGAGAATTAAATTATATATCGGTAAAACTCCAAAAGAAATAATCCAAAACAAATCAGTGTTCCACCAGTTTTGATGAAGTGAACGAATAGAATTTTTCCTAGCAGCAAATATTAATCTAAGCAAAATTAATGCCGAGTTTGAAGACTGCATGATTTTAGCCTCAATCTTGACTCGCCAACAGGTTTTGAAAAAAATCTCCTACAAGTGCTTGAAATCACCAGCAAATCGATGCTCGTTCACATAACGTGACAATCAAACAATATGAACAATCAAAGACGTGATCTGAGAGAATCAGCGTTGAGTCGCCCACACCTGTGAGATTTTTGTCATGGTAGATATTTGGAGCTGATTCAAATCATGCCATGTGTAATGTGTTCTGATTAAAAACAACATCGGTGATTACCTACAGCCAATCAGAGAGCAGCATCCACTAGTGTGGGTATCTGCAGACCAGTGGGAGGTTGGGGGCAAAGTTAAAAGGGCATCTTTTTGGTCTATTTGGACCCAAGAAATGGAGGAAAAACTAGTGTAAAACTGGCAGGAGCACCCATGTCTGTTTGACATACCATCTGAGCAATCCCACAATCAGGTCGATGAGGAAATACAGGAAATTGCTATGCTATGAGATGCATCAGTTACCTTCCGTTAAGGCAGTAGTTTTGTCCTCCTTATGGCTCTTGGTGTGTTTCTTTAGAGAGTGGCTGTTGCTGGCTCTGAAGTCGCAGTGTGCGCAGCTGAGCTCTTTCTCCTGCGTGTGCATGCGCTGGTGCCTCTTCAGGTTTCCCAGAGAATTGCATGCGAAAGTGCAGAACTGGCATTTGTACGGTTTCTCTCCGGTGTGTGTGCGCACGTGCCTCTGCAGATTCACCAGCTGCGCCGACGCGTACACACAGTGCGGACACTGGTACGGTTTCTCACCGTTGTGTGTCTTCATGTGCCGCTTCAAGTGATTGGAGTAGCGCGAGCTGAAACTGCACAGCTTGCAGGAGAACGTTTTAGACGTGTTTCCATCAGATCTGCTGTGGTTTAGGTTTTCTAGTGTGTTGTCTGCTGGATGAGTGGGTTCCAGGGATCGGTCCTGCCGGTCAGTTTCTCCACATTGAAGGCAGTAGAGGCCACTCAAAGGGTCACCCAGCAGCTGGCCGCACTGTCTGCAGGACAGATATGGTGCAAACGCAGCTTCGGGAGCCATTTCTTCACGCTCGCTCTCGGTGTCTCGAGGGTCCTCGAAGTCACTCTCGATACCGAGACGGTTGTAGCTGGAGCAGTCTTCATCACTGAAACCGTACACCGGCATGCCCATATCAGCCGCCACAGAGTCTGACAGGACATCACAAGAGATGATTGGTTATGCAGTATTTGTTTTGTTTTTTCGCATTTAATATTTATTTATTGAGCTTTTTCATTTGCAATTTAAAGCAGTACATTACCCCTCCTCTACCACAATCATAGCATTGAAAGAAAAAAGAAAGAAAAAAGGGTATTTATATGAATAAAACTAAGATAACATAAAGATAACCAAACACTTTTATTTTTTTTTTAAATTATTATTATTAGTTAAAAAAAATGTATTTATTTTTTACTGCTTAAAAATATAAAATATATAAATATAAATCAATCAATCAATCAATCAATGATAAATAAATAATAAATAAATTGCAGACACACGGAATCTGTATGCGCAAAAATCCGCAGATTTACGCTCAATTTTAGCCATCATTGAGTATTTACTTGTGTAAATGTGTGTAACTTTATATTATGTTATATTTATTCAGTTTTTAAATTGATTTCTCTAATATTATTGTGATATAATAGAGTATAAATAATAGATAAATAATACAGTAAAGCATTCATGATTTATTTACAATACAGTTTGTGAAGTAATATTTTCTGTCTTCTAGTAGATATATTATATGAGAGATTTGCTGTGTTGACCAAATAAGTGGGTCTAATTGGATTTGCATAGTAAACATTCAAAGTTTAAAATGTATATATTTTTTATTTCATATATTAAGTTTTTAGGTATGATAATCGTTCCGCATAAATCTGCAGACTTTTTGCATTATTATTATTTGTACTACACCTAATTAAAATAGCAATTGTTATAGTATTATTATTATTATATATAAAAAATAAATTATTATAATTATATCAACAAGTATATGAATAATATCAACAATAATAAATAATATTATTATATTAATAAAGAAAGGCTTTAAGAGTGTCTATTTGGGTAAAGCAATATAATTTTCGAATAAATATAAGATAAAAGAATATAATGTATATTATTCATAAATTATATATATATATATATATATATATATATATATATATATATATATATATATATATATATATATATATATATATATATATATATATATATATATATATA